AATGTAAATCGAGGTTAACGCTAGTCCCAAATGCATCTACCAATTTTACCATGGTTGTGTATTTTGAGCTACGAAGTTGAAATTATTTCATCTGGGCGTCCGTACTCGATATCCACCGACCATTTACAACACTAACTAAGATGAGTCATAGTGAGATTTCCACTGTTGGCACGAGAGATCAAGAAAAAGAGAGCATTTACTCCTGCCCACGTGGTGTACGGTGACCTCTTCTCAGGCTTGAGAACCGGATGTAAAAATGAGACGCACCATAAGACACGAAGTGTATGCTTCTTCACCCCTACATTCGTTGCCGGCAAGAGCATCACAACGCATCTCAAAAGGCCGAATATGAGGGGCAAAGTTAATAAGAGTGGTGGATGGTGGAAAATGACGTGGTGAGGTAAGTTGGAGAGCTGATTACAATTGATCGCACAGCAACACTTTGGCACTGTGATGGTCCATGCTGACCTTACGGTGAACCTCATCCGTCAAAAACTGAGCCGTTGAAGTTGTCCACCCTACTCGCCGATTTGGATACAGTTCACGCACTAATGCATGACTTTCGGCAACCGATACAGTTCGGGCGTAAAATGGATTATTCTGGCACTGGAGCTCAGTTGGAACGGTTGTCTTGAGAAGCGGGGAATGTTGCAGTTGCGCTGGACAATGCGGATGATCAGATTTTGCTCCGCACCATATTTGTTTGTTGTAGCTCAACCATATCATCATTCTAAATGGAAAACCGCAGCTACTCGACGAGTGTGTGCCAAGTAAACTTAATTGGAACGGCCCACTGAATAATGTTGGAACGGCCTTGATTGACGAATCGGGGGTGAAAGGTGCACATTATTCAGCTTAAAGAGGTACTAGCAGGTCTTCCATGGACAGGTCATGAGGGATACGGGGCCAGATAGCAGCTCAAAGCCGCAAACAAACTTTCGAAACAGCCCAATGTATATACAAGAGGTTGATGGTCCTTCAGCATTTTTTGCAAACACCGTAGTCCAGATGTGTTTATAGAGGTGAAAATCAAGGAACACAGTGCAGCATTCGGAATGAGTCATTTCGTAAGATAAAGAAAAAAGCACTTGGGGACACTCACCTGGCCAAGTTCTTCGTTCAAATTCGATGTGCGAGCCATTGCTGGAGTATCCGTGTCCGGATCATACATATCCAAATCCTACGCGGATACACAAAAAATGCTGAAGGGCATATCAACGTATGGTAAACGAGGGGAAACTGCAAGCTAAAACGGACCGCATGCCTGTGTATACAAAACAATGCTAATACCAAGAAAGCACACCACAGAAAGGAACTGGTCCCCCGGTTGGCCGAAGAACACGTTCGCAACTCATGCAACACATAAATACGCCAATCGCTAGAAAACTTAGATGTAAAATCTCGTCTACTACGAATAAACCTTGATTAGCTTTCTGCGTCAGCACGAAAAACCACTTTGCCCATAATGTACACATTGAATAGAATGCCCCACAATAGTGGCATTCAATTTTGGTTAAACGTGAAAGCAGCGAAACTGGCGAGGGAGCGGCCGACTGAACACAATTATTGATGCGTAAAAACACTTCACGACTCAAAGTTAATCAATCGCTTGCGGCTCAGAAGTGATCAATGAGCAGAGGAAATTTTACTCTGACAAAAATTGCGCTCACAAACTGAGTACTAGTTCGTCTCGGCCGACCACCGCAATAACGCCAAAACTAAATATTGCGCAACTGTTTCGTTGTCTTGTGAAAGCAAATAATGCTACGCCACATTTGCATTACCACTCATACAAGTGCAAGTAGATTATTCCTCGGTAGAGGGACCGGACCACCACCACACAAACATCAAACTAGTTACACCGAAAATCGAGTATCGTCTGTCCAGGGAACAGCGCCACCATACAATCCGCCCATGCCATTACCACATGTCTACAACAGCACATCAAACGTCCTGTCACATGTGAGCAACAATAAAGCATTACAAGTAGTGATGAGCATATGAACGTCTCCATCAAACTTAAAATCAGATCACTGATCGTTCCCAGGGAGAATCTGCACAAGATCAACGTGATTCCGGAGCACAACCCACTGCTCTCTGGAGCAGAATACCACATAAGTGGTTGAGCACATCATCATACAGCTAACAAGACGGACGGTTCACCCAACCCAGGTATTCGGTCATGGACACAGTTCGCCTCCACAAGTATCTTTCCCGGAACGAGGCTCTGGCCGTTTTCCTTCGAATGAAGCTATGGACGACGGAGAGAGTCACCGATAGACAACCTGCAGCATTCGAACAACTCAAGTGCGGAACCTTCCCTCAAAGCATATCCTCTATAAAGCGTATCCAGTAGAACAAGAAAAGAAATGCGAAGGCAATATTAACGAGGTTTTCGGCTAACACAAGGAGTGACAAACAACTGTTACGCATCTCACAGAAATCAAAGGAGACAAATTCCAACGGGATTCTTATTAGCTGTTAGCAGTCACTCACTTCCTTCGTCATACAGACAGTTCAACAGAGAAGAAACATATCGACTGGAGATAAACTCTCGGAAAATACTGACGACAGTATTAGGGCTATAAACCTACGAATTTCGAAGGATGTTACTTTTTAATCGCAATTATCCTTATGCTACAGCTTCCCCGGAAGCAAACCGCCTCTAGCAAACCCGGTAACAGGGCCGAACACTACGTAGACAGAATGTGAAGACTGCCTCTAAAAGTCAGACTACAAGTCTGCACACCCTGAACAATAATGCCAAGTGAACTATGTTAGCAGTCACTCACTTCCTTCGTCATACAGACAGTTCAACAGAGAAGAAACATATCGACTGGAGATAAACTCTCGGAAAATACTGACGACAGTATTAGGGCTATAAACCTACGAATTTCGAAGGATGTTACTTTTTAATCGCAATTATCCTTATGCTACAGCTTCCCCGGAAGCAAACCGCCTCTAGCAAACCCGGTAACAGGGCCGAACACTACGTAGACAGAATGTGAGGACTGCCTCTAAAGGTCAGACTACAAGTCTGCACACCCTGAACAATAATGCCGAAGTGAACTAAGCGATTCAGGATCGTACTGGCTGCATAATTCTGAGCTGCTCGGTAAGTATGGCTAACACGGTATTGTATTTGCTACCATCCCCAATAAGACCAAGGAAACTTTTATCTAATAGGGTCCTATATCCCTAAGGATCATGGCAGCTCCCTTCAGAGATGACCTACCCAACTTCACTGTCATCTTAGTCTGTACTCTGAAACAACTATTCGACAAACTGGTTGACGATAGCGTCTACGGTCACGTTCGGTTTTTTGTGAGCCAGGTGCCAGGACGAGATAACCTCATGGTAGCCAACGAGGGGAGTCTGCGGTTAAGCTGAAAACATTATATGTCCCACTCCCGGAAGTAGTCTTTCGAGAGAGATTGAGTGGGTATGCTTATCTCGGATGCACGGTGCGTTGAATCGGGGTACGACACGTTCGACTCAGGAGGAGCAAAATGCTTACTGATAATGCAAGCGAATGTATACGTGCACCTGACGACATTGAACTTGAGACCGAATAATGGGAAAGGTATGTCTCGTAATTATGATGATTGGTAAAAATAAATGAGTGTACCCATATGGTTCTACAGCTCGGGTTAAAAGACAAAGAACAAACCCAGTTGATGAAGAGAGCCTGGGCAAAGCGAACGAGCTCAAGGCTGACTTGCAAACTGATAGGTACGATGGTATGATACATGATGAACGCGGTAAGCAACATATGGGCCATTTGGCGAGCGCTCAGTTCTAGCGTAGATTGAATGCGAACCATTTTACGCAAAGGGAATAAGGTTTCCCATCAACAGTAACGGATGAGCGGTTGTAGGCGACCGAAGACAATAGGACAACGGTGTTAGTAACCACAACAGGAAAACAATCACATGATGAACGCGGTAAGCAACATATGGGCCATTTGGCGAGCGCTCAGTTCTAGCGTAGATTGAATGCGAACCATTTTACGCAAAGGGAATAAGGTTTCCCATCAACAGTAACGGATGAGCGGTTGTAGGCGACCGAAGACAATAGGATAACGGTGTTAGTAACCACAACAGTGAAAACAATCCACAGCAATTGGGCGAGGCAGGATTAGGAGGGGAGTAAAACAGACGGGTACGACAAAACCGTCAGACAACACGCGCACCCAAACAATAAGTGGGTAGTTCAAGCATCATGATGAAATAGATGGCGATGATGACGTGTAAGATGGACCAGTCAATTGCCAGCAACACCGAGGATGACACAGGAGCGGTAGTGGCAGCGGTCACCCAGCGTGATGACCAACAGCACGGTTACCCGATGACGTGGTGGTGATGGTGGCAGACGTGAAAGGACAGCGGTGGGAGTAGAGCAAGAGAGGAGGAGGACAAGAGATGCGAACAAATTACATGTACAATACGAGTGTGAGTTGACAATGAAGCATACGAAAACGTAGTAAGGGCCCAAAACCACAACCAGAAATGTGAGGCACATTGAGAAGAAGTCAGTCAGTCACATTCAGTCAGCTACAGCTAAATAACATGTACGGTAAGTAGGCGCGTGGAAGTGGGTTATGTTGATGCCCCAGATAAGTCGGTGCTCAGCGGGAGACATAGGGGCCAACAGATGGATAGGCAGGCAGACAGACTCACCCAATTTATATACAAAGCTTGTATAAACCGTACAACTTCGAGCATCACCGGCAGACTGATCGGAATCACAGTATTATACAAAATTAAGCAAGTGATAAGGTCCAACACGATCCGCAATGCAGATGCGTCTGTGACTGAAAACGAGAGGGAGCACATGAAATGTTGGTGTCTACAAAACACACACGATGAAGTATGCATTAAAGAGCCGCAGCCGCAAGGCAGGTGGGTGCTATCTATATTTCAAACCGAAGCCCAAACAAAACTGCACGACCTTGAAAGTTGTGTTACGCGGGAGCATAACAGAGGAATACGATTTTTTATGTTCTGACCAATTCGTGTGAGCCCTGAAACCGGTTTTTGACCAGCGCAGAAGCGTGCGACAATCCGACCATTGCGTACAGAATTGCGGTGCCTCATAGAAACACATAATCAATGCATAACTACAAATTACGTCACAGGACGCCCATAGGCAATGAAGTTGGAATCGTTTGATACCATCTGTTAATGCTTTTCAGTCAAACCCGACTGTCTGATGGAGGATAGAGGTGATATAAACGACATAACTTCATCCTCATGACAAGACGCACTTGAAACACGATCATTACCTGTGCCAGCCAGCCTGATTATTGGTTCCAGACGATGAACTAACGGGAGGCTATCAAAGGAAGTTGAGTTGAGGGAGGGAAAACTCGAGACAGGGTTGGTAGGCCAGTAACTATCCAAACGTCAAAACTCTCTTCTGTTAGACTGTGCACGAATAAAGAGTTGTGATCCGCAATGAATCCGACAGAAATGCTAACTGAGCATCGCCTTTAGATCGGACGATTAGGCACTGACAAAGTAAAACGTACACAAAGAATTTCGAACATCCCGGCTCTATCATCTATGTTGGCCAATAACAAATAGGTGTAATCAATGAGGAAAGACCAAACTCATCTGTAAGACTAAATTTTCACAGTACACTGGCGAAATTCGCGTATACACACGCACTTTTGGTACACAAGTTATTCGTTGCTTGAGAGAAGCCGTCGAAAACCAACTACTAGGACAAGGAAGTGCTAACAGGTACACACCTCAAAAAACAGTTAATAACAGCTTTCTCAAGAGCACATAGATTAAATTGGCCAGCCGATCGACAAAGGATAACCGGTGAGAGTCAAAGGAAAGATCAATCGCCTTTAGTCCCTATTTGTGCGGTTGATGTAAACCCTTGGACAGCCCACTACAGGTCTCGTGTCTTTAATCGTACTTCAAGAGTAGCAGCAACTGTGTGTAGTCTAGGAGACGATTCATCATTCTACGGGAGATCACCGCAGGATAAATCGAGCAGTTGTCAGGTGAACGTAGCAAAAGACCTTCCTCCAACCTGTACACCGGAATAGACATGAGTGGAATTGAGCAATGGCCAACAAAGTGAAATAATGTCAATGCATGACTCAAGTGAACCTCTTCAACCGAATGCTTTGTACAGGCCCACATGCTTGAGGCGAAAAGTTCTTCAAGATAGAGAAGAACTCTGCTTGATCTCGTACTAAAGAACCGAGTTAGCAAACATCGTGAGTGAGATCCATATAAGTCTACCAGTAACAACAATCGTCTAGGTTCAGATGCCAACAATACAGCAGTATCGAACAGCGTATGAAAATAGATAGCCATGTAGGCAAATTAAAAAAATTGAAATCATGCATACTGCACGATTACGGTGTGTGAGATTTCGCGCAAGCGGAACGGCGAATGTGGAAGACCAAGAATGGGCCTGGATGTAGTATTCGGTGTAGTCGTGCTCCAGTGTGGTAAGGCGGGACTTAAGAAGCATTTGAAGACACGTTGAAAACCGAAGCGTAATTGGACTTCTGGACCAATATTAAGCTTAACTGGTACGGCAAGAGAAGACTGTGGCGAGACCTTGTTTATCCATGAATTCTAACAGACTAATAAAATGCGATCACAAGCTGCTTCTTTCAGACACGTTAACAGTTAAGTGGACGGGATACGTGTAATCCGAATAACTATCAAACGCATGTGTACGGTCTACGATGGATGTTCCGTGCGTGGGCACGGCCTGGTCTGCACTTACTTTATTCATCTTGAAATGTCATCGGAAGACATGCTCCAGGAATTCCCTGTTGAGGAATAGTTACACAGCGCTCTCGAGTAGAGATACTTTTAGCAAACTGAAGAGCGAAGCCGGGTACCCGGTGATTAAAAAGAGATGAGAGTCTACTGATTGTCTGTTGACTTTGGACATTCGCTTCTATCGAATGGTCTCCAGTTCGCACATGCATCAACTAACTGTGTCCATGATACTCATAAAGATGGGTTCTGTTGGCAGTAGCATCTGTTGGCAGAGCATCACAATCGGAAGAAGATATTGACGAGAAGTTTGCGTCTAGTTCTAGAGAAGATGAGCCGGGCAACGACGAGGCAAGTTGTGAAAAACCAACAAGGAACTAAAGTATTCTACGAAAATGAAGTCAAAGAGCACTCTCCTGGAAATCATGACCAAACAGCCGAAAGGGCTCCACAGTTTTTCATTTACTCACTACATATCTTTCCCTCATATAGGAAAAGTGCAACCAGGTACTTTTACGTCACTCAACGCAATGATAGATTGATTGTTTTTTCTGTTTCTCGTTCTCCGTGGCGATGATATCCATTTAGTCTTCCGGCGAACTCAAAGAATAACTTCTTAAATTAACTCCTCTCATAACTGTTGGTTTTCAACTCCGTTGTGTAGAGCAATGTTGTGGAACTACGGTTCGGTGCGTGTATATCCCTTGATGAAGCTCCCTAATTTAAGCTTCCTAATTGACGTGCATTGACCTCTACAAATGGATTGCTTCCAAATCCATCTGATACACAACCGACGTGTCAAGGTGACTTGCTGTCTACTACCTAGCCACCTGCCCACCATCTAGATCACCGACGAAGCGCCATTGGGACATTAATCCCCAGTTACGAGTAGTTACAAACAATATTTCTTCTTCCAGCAGCCTTGCGAATTAGGCATGCGTCATAACCCAATTCAAAGCAACTGATACTGCCAGGCAACGCGCTTAGAGATGTTAGAGCACATCAAGGTTTATGAGATATCACAGTCATAAAATGATTTCAATTTGCGAGCGAGATAAACCGGTGTGCCAACCCCAGAGCCAATAGAATGGTTGGAGGATGTGAGCTGGCTTCAAACACAAAACAGAGGGCGTGGTCCCAGTACAACATATTTCTTACAACAGTACAGACCTCAACAGCATTAAGAAAACGAGACGCCTACCTTTACCGTCTAGGTACCACATTGTTGGTTCATTCCATCGGGTCCAAACGAGATTCGCAAAAAAGGTGAACAAGGTGAGGAAGAGCAACACGCCGAAAAGAAATAAAATCTAAAACGACAAAGAATACGATTCAGTATGTGACAGATAAGCGAGGCGAGATGATACACAAAAGCAAGAGAAAATCTGCAAGCAACGCTCACATAAGTGTTTGTCTGACGTTCTACGGTGGACTGTTTCAGTGGACGGGATGTAGAGTTGAGCATGACTTTCGATTCCTTCCCGGTGTAGACGGCCAAACCTGGATTTTTAGAAACATGCAGAAAGATTTATATAAGACCGATCGATTGAATCGAAAATCCCGGTATAACATCAATGCACATATGGTAGACAGATCAATATAGACAGTTAAGTGAAACGGTGCGACAGTAATCAGTGGTTTCCTGCTATTTTGTCCGACAGCTGGAGTAGACAGGGTGGCAGTCTGTATTTGCTGCAGAGGAAAAAAACGACTTTCCTGTGAATATCAAAAAACCACCCGCTACATAGCATAGAAACTAAGATTATTGGCAGCTAGCGCATAAAATACAGGAACGTATCCGAAATTACTACCGGACCAAAGGATAGCAGAAACAGCAAGTTAATCTAAGTTTCTCCTGTGCTTGAATTCTGCTCCTCAAAGGTGGACAACACGGCAAACTTTGCCTTTTCGCTTCGGCTACAAAACGTCGGTGTAAATATATTTTGTGTATAGAATGTGTGCTTTATGTGATTGAGTGGTTAACTAAACGAGATCGGGTAACAAACTCGATACTTGGGGCTCGGAGATCGAACCACTGTGCAGTGTAATACCGCCATGAGCAACATTCGGAAAAGCACTTTAATGATAACGGCACATTTTACTCAGGTCGATTAAGAATAATCAGGTACACTGTGAGGGTCGATAATCAGTTAGGTATAGCATCAGGTCACCAAGTTCAGTCAAACTGTGCTCGACCGACGGTAAGTTAAAACTACATACACTCTTCAAATAAGCTAGCTATATGAGAATAGTTCGTGGATGGGCGATTCTGCAGTCCGAATCTGTTGAGTGAGTTCCTGCTTGTCAACTTAGTTAGCCAACCACATTCTCAATAGAACAGCCAAGGGTTTAAAAACAGTGAGCAACTGACCCACTGGACCCTAGGGGGTCGGCTGCGCTGCAATGAGAATGTTCCCCAATGCAAAAAGGAGTGCTTGAGTTGTCAGGAGTCAAGGCTAGTGTGATACTTCAGCGAATCCCCGCTAAAGACGTTCGTTAACTGGTTGCAGAAACACAAAGGCTACCTCATGGTTCATTTAGCCGATATTCGGTGCGTCCAACTATTTTGTCGATAGAAAGTATAAAGTAGCAACCGGTAATCAAGTCACTGGGTCAAGTGTATGAGATTTACGGCACTTTTTTCCGCCTAGGCCAGTTAGTCAGTGAATAAGATCTCGTTCATGTATCCATCGCAGCATAAACAAGATCCACTTGCTGCCCAACCTCTTCCATGCAGTCAAAATAAACGAATTAGAACGTGAATGTTCAAGGTTAACTAGGCAATGAAGGTAGCCGAAGAACATGTCTGACGGTCAACATAAATTTTGGAAGAGACGTAAAAGCACCCTGAATCGTCTAATTAACTTTGAGTTGGAATACAAAAGTCATTCAGTTAACTAATGCCCACAGAATAATCGAAAAAAATTATGGGTTGCATAAAAAAGCAAGGATAGATGCAGAAATCCAAACATAAACCAAAGTCAATTACTCACCAAATACCCATTTTGTGTTCTTCAAAGAAGCACCACGTATCAGTAACTGATTGGGTTTCAAGGGGTATCGTCTGAAACAAAGACGGTTCGTCCGTAAGACAACAAACAGGCTCATGATCACTGGTGCTTCACTACCGTGCAACAATATCATTTCGATTCAGGAAGGTATTAGAAAGAAAAGAAAACATGGAGCAGGTAACGGGACCTAGGGCCAGCCCACCAAACATCCGAGCTGCTTACACCTCCGGCACTCAGTATGACAATCTGCATAGAAACTGACAGCATGAACAACACTGACACCGGTCGCCTACCACATCGACTAGTGTCTCCAGCTAAGCACAAGGAGGGTCAGGTGGATCCCATCCTGGAAGGCAACCGGAACCAATGGCACGCAAACTTCTCGCGTTATTCCTTTCTGACGTCAAATTCTGTCTACCTCTAATTTTCCGCCACTCAAAATCAGGTATGGAAAAGTGCTCGTCTCGGCCGGCGGTAGGTCGGCATGCGTAACACATGGCTCAGCCACCTCAAATTGAAGCTATGGGTGCACTCTTTGAGGTAAGTACCCTCTGCTTCCCCAGAACCCGTCTCTTAATCACTTCAGTGTGAATCCGCTGGGGTTTCAGTCGATTCAAGCAACAGTTCTGAGACATTGGTAGTTAAAGACCCAGAGATGTTTCACATCCTCAGCCCGAAGTAGCCCAGTCTCACAGCACTACAACAATACAAACCATACTGTAGTCTGCTTCCAACGTACTCTGACACTCCGTGAGATGCCTTTTGACCGCACAAGTGACACTAACCGGCAAATGCAGTTCTGGCCTTCGAGATTCGCCTGTCGCACTGCCGTCAAAGTCAATGCAGCTCCGATATCCGTCTAGTATTCCACACACCCCAGTGCCTCTCCTCAAATCCTCAGAGACATATTCAAAGACTTGCGTCCTACAGCATGACTGCACTTTTCGGATGCGAGGTACAGGCGGAAAGACTGGATGACCCCGGTCAGCTTCTCATGTAAGGCCTGCGCTTCCTAGTCCTTTTAAAAATGACGGCGATGTCACCTGCATATCCCAGGTAGACAAAGTTTTCGTTCGGAAAATCTGCACATCGGGGTCTCCGAAACCTTGCAGTGTTCGCCTATCATCAATAACTAAGTTAAACAACAATAGAGAAAATGGACATCCTTATCGAACGGCCCAGGTTGTAGAAAAGCTTTCGGAGAGCTCATTGGCCAGAGCATACTATTCACGAACTTCAGGGGGCACACCCTGTGGTGCAAGCACGTTGAGAAGTGGTTGGCAGAGTTGAGCGCATTCCTGATGTCGAGAAGCATGAAGATCGCAAGGCACCTACACGCACCGACAGAGGGTTTCATCTCCATTTTCAACCAAAACGCGTGGGAGTTCTCCAAGACTGGCAGATTGGTGGAGTTTGAGGGGAGAAAGCCATTCGCTTATTTCCGAAGGAGTCTATGGTTACACGTTCACCGTCCAGGGATGCGATGCCGATTGAGAATCCGGCTAAACAATGCAGGTGGCCAGTTGAATTTTTGATGCGTTTTAACCCAAAGATTCACGTGCCCCCCTTTATATAGTTAGGTGAATCGGTTTTGTAGCCTATTGTTCCGCTCACCAGAGGACTCTTTGTGTCTGTTGCCCACATCAGCTGGAACAATTTACGCACATTCTCACAGCTTCTCGCCCCTTCCACCTCTCCAGCAATCTGGACCAGCCGTGCTTCCCGATCCGCGCAGACGCGCTTTTGAACCTGCAGTCTGAAAGTTCGGTTAGCGGTATTGTGCTCTCCACCAAGGGGAATACATATCCGAGCTTCGAGATATTTTACTATTGCTTGGGATCCAGTGCCTAGGTCTAGTTGGTTGAACGACTCCACAAACGGAGCGCCTTGAATCTTGCACGGTTGTGCACAGAAGCTTCCAGTATGTCTCAATATCAGAAGATATCTCCTCCGAAATGGAATTCAGTTGTTGGTTTCGGTGGGCTTGACTCACATCAGGGTTTGAGAAGTCCCCAAAGGGTAGGTGAGATGTGCACATTTTGCTTGTCCTTCACAAGCTCAACGAGAAGCAGCAACGAACAAGCGCTTGATCCGAATCCGCATAGGTCTTACAGAATAAACGACAGATAGTAATAGACCAACTTCACCTTTAGTTAATGGCAATTTGGTCTACCCCAGTTGGATGCTGCCTAGCGTGCGGGGCTTCATGTAGCCAAGCAGCTCCTATTATTTCGGAAGCTAATACCACAGAGTTACCTGTAGTTACTAGACATCTGCAGTGGACATTCGCCGTTGTCAGTGTATTTCGATTCCAGCCCTAGATAACCACATGATTGAGACTTAGAAGCGCTGTCTACCTACTTATGCATTCATATCCGCGGCAAAAACAAGATCTGAGCTCTTAGCCCACCGTCTCAGCAATAAGCTTAAAGCGTCGTAAAACTGTCTTCGATTATACAAGAGCTACAGTCTGTTGGAGTGTAAGCAGACATGATGAGCAGGCAGCGATCATCGGCGCATTAACGGGATATCCTAACATACATTAGACAACCGACCACACAGGGGTGACGATCGTCGGGTACCCAGTCAACCAGAAACCCCTCAGGTGGTTTAGAACAGTACCAACCACAGTAGAACCAGCCAAAGTGGCTCCCGGATCACCAGAGGTACGAAATCAGAAGTGAACGGAAACCGATGAGGAGGTCAGTTTAATAACCGTATTTAGGTCTAGTTCCCTCGCTTCAGACAAACAGCACACATCAGTAGTTCAGCGTAGATTCACGAGCAGTCTATTACACCAACTGTTTCAGAGTGTGAAGGTTAAAGGCTGCCAGGTGAATTGAGCGTCGGAAGCTGAGTGATGATTTCGAAGGGTCTGTAGCCTTAGCGGTCGAGTCAAGTGTAGATATTACAGCTAGCGGCAATACGCGGCGACCGTATCCGTCAATTCTTCGACTAGGAACTGTGGAAATATCGCTGGCAACGGGGTGAGGAGAGATAAAACAGCGAATATGTGAAGATGAGGTGGAAAAGAAAGGAGGAAGGCACCAGCAGTACTTTCTTTTCGCTTACCCGCCCTGCTGTATGCAGCAAATGAGGCGACCATGCCGATGGCGACACGCGACGGCGGGTGAAACATGAGATTAGTTGCGAGCGTGCAGTTCATAGTTGTACACGGACTGGGATACTGCCAGTGCACCCAAACTTGGACACGACGATTAGGGATCCCAAACAAAGCCTTTGGCTCAAGAGCAAACCCGCAAGCTAGCAGTGGCTACCGAAAGACCGTCAGAGCAACCTATATTTATAAGTCGCCACATGTTCCGAACCTCGAATTGGAGGAAAAGGAGACCGTCTTCGTTAAACGTCTCAATACTGACCAACCGGTCTGAGCATACCTGCGAGTGTGGAAGGCATGCACTTCCCACCCCTACACTTAAGCGCTGCTACACCGACCGCGACAGCACCTTAAGATCCAGTATCTTCGTCGAAGAGACAACGGAGAGAGAATTAAAACTTCTTCAACAAACCGAAGTTACACGGTCCATTAACTATTCGATATGGGCACTCCTATTCTTGTCATCAACATAGGTAACGACTAAATTCGTTTACGTGCTATCTCATCATACTCGATGCCACGCCAGAGTCACACCAGAACTCATTAATGACAACGGGAGATTTATTTGGGAAACTCAAAAGTGGGCCAAGCTTTGCTAAGCTTCACATAGCTCAATTACAAACACCAATTGCAAATGATCCCAGGGTTGTTAACACTCAACGCATACGGGGGTTGGCTATTTGGTGTAAAATGAGCACCAGCCGTATTCCAGAGCATAATATTGACCGGTCTACGTGGAATTTCCGCTTATTTCGATTATGTCATTGCCACTGGTTCAACTGACGATGAAGTTCTTCACAGTGCAACTTGTGTCCTCTATCGAGCCTAGGATTGAGGTTTTCATCACCACGCAGATAATTATTCGTTTTTCCTTACGTCTATAAAATTTGATGGGCTTATTTTTGACAGAAACCGTCGTCTCTCAACCAAGAAAAGAGTTCTTTCATAGCACAAATGCTAGCCCAAAAGACCTATCAATTCTGTGATCCTTCTGGTGAGCGACTACAGCACATTTCCACTAAAAACATCTTGTTCGTCACTCACTCGGTCGTTTCTTAAAGAGGATGTGCCATGGGGCTGCTTACACGAACGTCAGTCTGCAAGTGACGAAGTAAAAGTACTATTTACTTCAATCCACTCGAGGATATCACTGTTGTGTCACTCACATCTAACCGCTGCATTGGAGCAATCGTATCCCACATTTCCGTGAGAGAACAGAGAAAAGGGTGCGTTTGATTCTGTTGACTGATTCGTTTTGTTAACTACACTTGCTCAACATGGAATGCCCCAGAAGTTTGTGAACATAATCCCATACCTAAATTCGCATACTTCTGGGCGGGTGAGAGTGTATGGTGACCTCTCCAAAAGCTTCCCTACAAAAAGTGGTATCCAAGAGGCATGTCCACTCTCTCCATTCTCGTTCAACTTCGTAATTGATGAGATAATGAGACTAAAAATAGACAGCCTTAAAAACCCCGGTATTCAAATTGTTGCTGGTGAGAGGTGCTCAGTCCACCGCACAAGATCATGATTGGGGGAGTGAATAGCTGTTCCATACTTCTCGTATACTGTTCCATTGACACCTGTCTTCTTTTGACCGGTTGATCGAAACAATTGAAACAGGGCGCGGCTGTTGCCTGCAGCGAAAGCCTTTTCCACCTCCTGACCCTTCGAAATCTTCAACTTCTGATTATCCGGTGTTTGATGTCTCGGCGTGTGCCATCACAGTCGTTAGTTGCTGGTATGACCAACATTCATTTACTCGAGTCAGATGGCCTGGAAAAAACAGTTCTGAAAGCCGAGAGCAGTGCTTCATTAATTCGCCTCCATTCATCCTACAAGCAATCTTCTTCGTTCACCTGACTGTGAGTTTCCACTAGCTTCCTAGCTAGATCAGATCGATGCACTTCAGCTACTGAAACTTGTCGCATTTGAATGAACGATGCTCTCCTTTGGCGCGCGTAATACTGTCGGAAAGCAAAGTGCTAACCGGGCTCGCATGATGCTGTGATCAGAGTCATGTTGCGTAAAAAAAAGAGTAATAAACGTTCAGTTGTAGCGCCCTTTCGGTGCCTAGCTGCTATGCCACCCAAAGGAAGCACGAGGGCTGAGATACTGCCAGGTTGCCCAAGCCTAGGCAGGGGAAGTCGAGAGGCAAAGGCCAGGTTCGAACCACGGACCTTCCGGTCAATAAATTCGCGCTCTTACGCCCCAAGTTGCGTACCCCCAGAAGGAACGTCAATTTTAACTGAGGCTCTCCATCGATAACTGATAGCCATATTGTCCACTTGAATCCAAGACTGTCTTGTGGCAGGTGGCCTCCAAGTAACTCGATGTGGGCGTTTGTGCTACAAGCTCGTACTGGCTGGGAACAGACGATGGTCTGTAGATAACTGAGGAAGCCACTCCCTATTATCCGTACGCTTGACCTCGACTCCAAATATACAACCTAACTATGCTTCTTCTGGACTTGGTAGTCCAAATTGGGTATTCATATCACCCCCGAGGATTACTATACTCGTGCTTGCCCACCGAAGTAGTCGTGATAGATTGTGATACAACTCGTCCTTCTCAGTCCCAGGACTGCATTCTGTTGGGGCATGTGCGGACACAACGAACAGGCACCGTTCACCTCATCGACCTGCATTAATCTTAATTGAGCCAGACAACCGTGCAACGCAAAGACGACTGTTTAAAGGGATCCATTCCAGTGAGCGCTCTCAGCATTGAGGCTGAGTGTAATTCCCACACCGTAGATACCACGAGCCAGGGTCAGGATCACCAGTGAAATGTGGAACATCTGAGCTTGTCTTAAGCGGTTTGAGGAGCACGACCGAAGTGGGGTCTTGTAAGCGCGATACGGTGACACAAATAATATCGATAGAGAGGGAAAGCAATGTTTCAGCAAGGGATGTTTGTTGTCCAATTTGACGTAGAATACGGACATTAAAGGCTGAAACGTGAATCAGACCTTTTGAGATTGGTAAGTGATTATTTTGGTTTATTTTTCTGGGTAAAGGTTTTGAGACGGTATGGTGGCTAGGGGGTTGGCAAATGGGTTGATTGCCATGCATTGTATGGTGGGTGGGGAGGGAGTGTAGGAGAAGGCTGGTGGGCAAAGAGCTGCAAGGGAAAATGATACCTCCGGGTCGCCCAAATTGAAGAAGGGGTTCAGCTGAGCCTTTGGCTCAAGTCTGACGCAAAGGGCTGTGGGAGGATGTAGGGTTATGTTTGGAGACTCTGCCCCAAGCCTCTGGCTCACAAGTCTGGACCGCAAAACAGCGGGTTTTAGGGCTTACTTGGGGGACCCTGTCCGGAACCAATGTCTAAGTAATCTGACCCACTTGCATACAGGGGTCCGGGGCCTGGTCCGAGGGCGCAGGGAGTACGACATTGCTGTCTCATTCCTAGCGCATCTGCGTACATCAGGTGCCTTATGAGCAGCACCAGAATCTTTGGTTTTAAAAATATTCCGAATGTGTGAATAATGCGCCAGAGGTCACGGTCAACCGTTGAGCGATCGGTGTGCAGTTTTGGGGGTCGACCTTTCTAACCCGTCCTTCCTCGGGGGAAGGCAAGATTGCTGCTTCCATAAACATGGACATACGAGTCACCTGGGGAAAAAGCCTTACTGCCTTCGCACTTCTATAGCAGAGGATAGTGCGAATTTAACTCCAGGCCGCCTTGCCATATGATTACTCGCAGTAAAGGGACTCGCTATTCTTTGTCGGGCTGGTTCCCTTTGATCTTTCGGACATGGTTGAACCTTTATGAACTGAGTTCCAGTCAGTATAGCCGGCAGGACCATTATAGCACAGGAGCCCGACCACCAAGACAAGGTGATGGCTTTAGGCCAGGGTGACTATTAGTGTAATATACTGCTTAACGGACTGCACGATTATCCAATGAACTGTGATCTGATCCTGTGTTGTTAGGATAAGATTGACAATCTGACGGGAGTCGTAAAGGCAATGAGTTTCAATGAAGAAAGTTTATTAAACAAACTTACACTCCATCAAACGCCCGGAGTACACCAACAAACTCTTCCAGCTTTCTGTTGGGCAGTTCACATTCCACCCACCCTCGATAAGCGCCCAAAGATCCGGCAGTCAAAAGATCTGCTGTCTGAGGCAAACCCTGTGAATTAAAAATTATACATAAATTAACGCCACGCAAAACCTTTGAGCAGCGCTTCCAGAATTCAATATGTATGAGGACAACACAGTAGTGGTATCACGGTTATGGGAAGCTTTCACTGTCCCTGTGATATAACAGACTACTAGGCTATCAATCCAGTAAATGAGAGACAACCCTCGCTTACAGCGGAAAGCATATGTGGACGAAGTTGTAGGCTACAGGCTCCTGTCAAGATTATTATCATCATCAGCTACAGACTGTGTAGTGATTTCACTAGCCGCGGTAATGTCTATTGATGAATAACGGATTGGGGTAAAAATAACCTCGTATTGGAGGATCTGTCTGACGATCTCAGGTTACATTGCCACATCCTGATATGTGAGGCAGAAACTCTTGGCAACTGACAGAACAAAGCCTACTCTAATAAAACTGCGAATGGGTATGCGCAGTACCTGCGACATCAACCTGAAAAATCTCATCATGAAAAGAATCCACAGCCAAGTATTAACGCTTGCAGTGCTTCAGTTAAAATCAACACAGTCATCTATGCAAAGGGTACGTGTGCTGTAGCCAAAAGTAGTTTTGAAATAAAAAAAAGCTTGAGTAATAATAAAATGGTAGCATAGGCGACGACTTCGTGAGGCGATGTAGAAGCTAAGTCATCAAATGCCTACCCAATTTCTGACTATAAACTTAAGATAGTAGACTTTATTTTTCTCCAACTAGCCTATTGGGCGTATCATTCAGCTAGAAGTATGTCGCACTACAACACCAAAGTAGAGTTTCATGGTGGTGATGTTTTGATGAATCACGACCAGAGCTTCATAAAGCAGCAAAAAGGTAAAATACCTGGCGTAGTTTTAGATTCGTCTCGCCGTCTAGATTGCTCGTCTCAATGTAGCACATAGCTTGGGGTTCACTGGATGCCAGTAAAACCAGGTCAGCCGGGATCTCCTGGTTGTTGCAAACTTTCACCAGGTCACCGACCATAAGATCTTTCCACATAGTTTCCACCCATTCACCTTCACGTAAGACTTGAAAATGAAAGAAAAAGTGAGAAAGTCAAACACACATTCAGTGTGCCGTGGATTGATCGAATTGAGGAAAAAGTGAAAGTCAAACACAATTCAGTGTGCCGTGGATTGATCGAATTGACCTGTTTTAAACATCACACGCTACAGTCCGAAAACGGACCACCACCTTACTTATAAGGGATTTTCGTCTGCCGGTTATCAATATAAGCAGTGAGAAGAAATAGGGAATGGACTGAAGATCAGTTCGATCAATGAGCATTAGTAAGCGCAACTCTAGATTATGGGTGTATTTGTTCAGTTTGTTTTCCGTGACACGGAGCCCATCTTCTTACGTAATTTTATGGCGTGATTTGATGGAGGGCTGAATTCAAATGTGGAAGTTGAAAGTAATTCTACAAGAACAACGGGCAAAATATGGGAAATTTCAACTACAACTGGTGCCGTCTTTGGAACAACGAACCAAACTCCAGCCGATAACAGTACATTCTGATGGTCAGTCTGTATTCCATCCCAGTACAACAGCTGCAACGAAATCGGAAAACTATGAGTCAGACAAATATTTGACTCAGTTTAGGAAAACACCTCTCAGGATAAGTTTACAAGTGCCAGCCGAAGAACCTAGACTTCTGGCGCACGACAACTCCAGCTTGTACTACCACAGGTACAACAGCTGCAACGAAATCGGAAAACTATGAGTCAGACAAATATTTGACTCAGTTTAGGAAAACACCTCTCAGGATAAGTTTACAAGTGTCAGCCGAAGAACCTAGACTTCTGGCGCACAACTCCAGCTTGTCACTACCACAGGATGATATCAAAAGCCTAAATTTAGTATTTAATCTCCTCAAGAAGACGTACGTACCCGACCGATTGTTGTCGAAGGTTGAGCAGGAGAAAGACATACATGTTAAACCACTGAGTAGCAAGTGCCAAATTTCAACCATTCATAAACGCGAAATTGCGACAGACCACCATTAATCGTGCGATACAACGCACTTTCGTTGCTTCTGGAACGAAGCCTCCCACAAACTTCTGGTCAGGTAGAGGGTGGAATTACTCACGCTTTTACCTCTCCTATAAATATATTTGCCAAATTTGCAATGGACAGAGTCACAAATAAAGTTTCCGCCAACCCTCTAAAGCAACATTCTCAAAATACGAGAGCACCCGCAATCCTTAGCAGGATAGTTACCGGTAACAGAGGTATCAAAAACACCAACAATCCGAAGCTGTATTCCCGTACATTCATATCTGACTTTGCAACCCGTAGAGATTGTCTGCACAGACTCTCTGTGGAGTCGATTTCTATTTACATAAAAACTGCTCGTAATTACCATAGTAATCACAGTAGTATCAACCTGATCCTCGTCGTAACGATTCCTAGGATCAATTATTCTTCGTCAGGAACGTAAAGGGCTAGACCTAGAGAAGTGGTCGGAACTCCTTTCTTGAAAGCGCTACGTCGGCCACATCTTCACAATTCAACAAGAGTTGTAACAACGGCATACATAAAATGGGCTACAATGTTGGTGCTCCTTGAGTTAAAGAACCTACCAAACTATTCTGTCCTCCGGAATGTGCTCTGCACCCGCAGTGCAGAGTCATAAATGCTTCATTGCATACGATCCTTAAATACTCCACTTTCGATATGACAAGTGCTGGAAGCCATGGAGTGTTTTGGAGGCTGTAGTGGTTATAATGTAGGGACGCACGAATCCAGAAAATCTGAACTGCGACAGCCAACTTGCACCACTTTAGAGCATAAGGTCACCAAGGTTGCATTGCAGACTGTGCCTACACCTTCGCCTCCGCAATCGGGGACCCAAAGCAGTTTTAGGTATTCTATCACCGACGTTTAAGAACCACTTCTGGATAACGCCAGCGAATGCGCGATATGATTAGCAAACCGGTTGTCAGTGGTATTGCCTCAAGTCATGTGCTATCCATACCGTCTTTGTGAGACAAGGGCATAGTTTTACAAGGTGATTACATAGCTATGGTCAACGTACGACATGCAATAAAGAATACGAAAAACTTCAGATGCTGCGGGATAGATTTAAAATGAAACTCCCTGGCCAGAGACACTGTAATGTAAGATTGAAAACTGAATTCTCCGGTCCCGTTTGATTCGTACGAAAATCTTATTGCAGCCACTCAAACGGACATCGTCAAGGACAACAAAGTCTTTTTGATCTATAACAGAACAACTGGGCCTGAGGAAGTTCAGTGGACAAGGCGCAAACTTACTGACCTGAAGATCCATGGTTTCGAAATCAACCTCAGCATCTCGACTGCGTGCCTAGGGTTGGACAATATGGCAGTATCCCCGTTCACATGCTTCTCTTGTGTGACATGGCAGCTGGGCACTAAAATGATGTTGCAGCTAAACGATTATTATCATTATTACTATTATTATTATTACTATTGTCATTATTATTATTAATTCGGGCAGCACTTCAGTCGTCGATCGGATGCTTTCCACTAGAACTGCTAGTCCGAAAGAGCCAAGGCTGTGAATATAGCGTCACATTTGACGTACATGCCCTCAATTGAACGCCACCGAATTTCCGGACTCGATAACTACCAACTGTTCTGTTGGGCGGCAATGTTCTGTCGGCGCCTTAAAACGGCTAACTGGCAGCAGGCCGACTTGGCCCATTGGGATGGATCGATAAGGACCCCCGGACGAGTGGCAACTAATAATAAATAATAATCGTTCAGCTGTAGCACCATTTTGGGGCTGCCATGTCACACGGGGGCACGAGGGCTAGGAAACTGCCAGGTCACCCAAGCCGAGAGCAGAGGTCGGGATTCGAGCCACGGACACTCCGGCCAGTAAACTAGCGCTTCAACCACTTGGTCCATCTCGCCCCCGTATACATCAGTCTGACTCTCTTCTGACGCTTGTCTTCACTTACAGAAGCAAAGCCACTACGAGTGAGTGAAGCAGGTTTCGACCAGATGGTAAGTATAACATTCACACTCCCCTAGATTTGGCAACAGCACCATATGTATGACTGACCCACAACCTCCGTTAACCCAAATGGAGCACATAATCCTACCCAATACTTAAAAAACGTTGAAACATCAGAGGGCTCACTCAACCAAATCGTTTAGCTGTAGCAACCTTTCGGTGCCTAGCTGCCATGCCACCCGAAGAAGGCAAGAGGGCCGGGATACTGCCTAGACAGGAGAAGCCGAGATGATGAGGCTGGGTTCGAACCACGGACCTTCCGGATCATAAGCTGGCACCTTAACTGAGCTACCTCGAGCTATCTCAATAGCTCAAAATCACGCTCCCTTTCAGCGTCATACTTAAACGAAATAAAATGTACATTGGAGTTTACCGAAAACCTGGCGCTGCTGATGGGAATCTTATCCAGCTGTAGTGTGCGGAAAAAATTATCATCCCTGGAGACGAAAGGAAAGCAAAACCGCCGCCAAACAAGCTAATCATTGCCGCGCCACTTTAGCATGTGCTCCGCCATTATAAAATACAAAATCGAACTTTATACAGACTTCACACTGAGAGCACTGGACGGTGGGCAGCGCGCTGCAGCATCATTAGGAATAACACATCAGCGATAAGTACTGGTGCTCAGCCGTCATTGTAGTGCATCAACCACTGGAACTGGAGTCGGGCATTTCTGCTCAATAGAAAGGGTCTTATGATCAAGACAGTCATCTGGTTATTGCGGAACATTCTGCGTACCTTGGTAGGTTTAGTTCTAAGAAAGAAGTACCAAACAGTGCACGAAAAAGAGAAGAATTGGCACCATTTTTGGGCCCAGTGAAACGACCTCCAACTGTTGCGGATATCGTGAGACTCATCACTAGCCTTTGTCAGACACGGCCCCCGCGGGAGTAGCGGCTTGTATACAAGTATAGCTGAGTTGCCACACGTGCACGAAGAAATAATATCCCATCAAAGAGTGAGGTTTTGTGTACTAACCTATTACATCCTCAAAGAAAAACCACAAACATCTTTGACCCGGAAAAACTTGATGAATATTTGCACCACATCAGAGGCATCATCAACTAACTCGACTTAGTAGCTTTTCCAAACTTTATACAACCCAAGACAAGCACCTGGAGGCAAGCAAAATTTAGCTCTTGTGAAGAGACCTCCAAATGCTTTTCTTTTCAGGAAGTTCTAGGAAAAATTCAACGTCTTTCTGAAAACAACGTTGTTGATGTATGAAAATTCCGATGATCTACAACATCGAAAGTAGTTTCGAGAAACTTGATTTTCCTCATTTGACCTAAGTATGTGATAGCTTGACGGTCTGAAAACCGCTTCAGTATGGTAGTTATTCACAGTCCCCTTGCGTCCATAGGAGACAATAATGTCAACCCAAGGTCGAATGAATCGACCGTCCTGATGTTCATCGTATGCCGTTTACTGCTAGAAGTCACTGCTCACCATGGGACTCGGAAGTAGAAGGCCGAGCCGATCCGGTTCCAACTAGACACCTTCGCTGATAGGTCTGAGGGGGAAATGAGGGCAAACTAAATGAATAACGTTCCTGCTACACAGTGCTGATCGCCGTCAATAAGATGGAATTCAAAGACCTAAAATCTCACTGCTAGAACTGAGAACGTCAGACATCTAAATTTGTTTCACCGGAAGAACCAGAATGATGGCAAAGATATGGATGAAACTGAGAGGCTGGCTTGTATCCCGATGATTCTGTTGGATTTCGACAAAATCCATGGAAAGCGGCGTAAAACTCACCCAGTGTTTTGCTTTTGTTCGTGGCGTCATCTGCGTAATGTCTCTTCTGTGGAGGGCAGTTAGAGATTAAAACGACTAACCAAGTCTTCTATCATCTCCTTTATTGCAGAAACCGTTAGGATGATCAATAGTGGCACTAGTGTAGTAAACCTTCCAGTAGGTGATACACCGGGAATTTGCTAAGGATGTAGAGAGTACTTGCAAAACGAACCTGCAGCAATGCTATCGCTAGGAAAAATATGTTAGCATAACGTCGGAACTGTTCATAAAGGAACTTTGGTATAAACGTCCATACGCTGTACTTCGCAGTACTGAGGAAAAATTGATCAGTCCAAGCACAGGAAAGTACCTGATTTCATTCTTACAGAAGTTAGATAATTGGTGATCGTTAATTTGTACAATTCGGGATTGGGAGGCCTCCCCCGAAGATTCCAATTTCCTCTTCATCGTCAAAATATTCCTAACGCCCTGAATCCCGTAAAAACACAACGCCACAAACACATGATTATGGGTGCACGCAACAGAGGACGCAAAAGAGGAAATGAATGGGCGGCGAAAATGGCCGCCTCCGATTGGTTCATTTGCCCGTTGCGCGGGTTGCTAACCTTCATGCAAACGCTCGCAAGGTCAAAGAGCACACAGAGCTCATCTATCTATTGAGCATGTCGGCTGTCGGTAGTGCTCAAAACAAAGCACTCAGTTTGTATGCGAACTTCTGTCTAGCACAATGCTGTATTGGTTTTGAGGAGCTACTTCCAAATGACACGGAAATGATCAAATGCAGAAGTAGAAGAGACGTCACTCGCATTGAGCGTATCCAGCGAGCCGCTACGAAAATGGTCGCGGCCCCAAGTCCATGGACTACAAAACGGGTCTCCTGGTGCTTGTCCTCTTCCTTCTGGACTATCTTCGCACTATCTTATGCCCTGTATGTCAGGTATGTAATCGCGAAGGGGAGATTCGCCATGGGAATGAGCGCAACAGGAACTTTCCTTTGTTTATTTCATTTTCCTCTTCTCCCTGGTCCTCGCGTGCAACTAGCACGGGAGAAGCTGTGTGAAGTGATCCGTAGAACGGCTAATGCTTTTTGAGCCGATTTCTCGTGGTGCAGTGAGAAGGACCTGTTTGAAAATGGCCAGATATCCGAATACTTTTTGGCATCAATCCTCGTGAGGTCTTCTGGCCCAATGTCACTACGCACGTCAGATGCGTTCGCTGAATCACCTCCGATTGATATTCGGCCGGATTTTCCGTCATTCAAGGGAAGGTACTAGTCCGAAGACCACTGCCTTCCAGCATTTACATTCATTTGAAGGGCACTGGCGTTGGAACTTTAGGATTCCAAGAAAGCCTTCTACCTTTGCAGCAGACATCCCCGCAGACGAAGCCGAAGCCGTGGAATTCGTCGCACCTAGTAAGTTCATGGTTGATTGTGTGTACGCGGTAGCACATGTCGTACTGATTGTCCGGCAAGGTTCCACGTTCGCTGGTACCATGACTGCTTGAGGGATACTTCCTGCTACCTGGAGCACAACCATCCACGTAGCAAGTTTATTTTTGTCAGGCTCCCCATCAACCGGCGACTGACAAATGGTGAATAAAAGAGTGTGGTACCCTTTTGAAATATAGTACTCCGTCATCGGAGATTCGGCACCACGTCGCCGACCACTTTGGAAAGGTACTCACTATCAAGGATGTGCGTAACTATCGCGTCAAGTGTCGACCCCCATTCTCAAGTAGGTCGTTGGTTACCTTTTAGTCGGTTTTTTAGATGACGTCATCCATCATAGCCAAGTTTCGAGAGTGCGGTCACGTGCCAATGGTGTAATCGGTGGGTGGCAGGTATATTCACCTGTGCTTTTCTCGCACGCAACAGATGGCACTCTTTAGATGTTTCCCAGTGCATGGAGGACAAGCTGAGTCTCTCCCGTAACACAGTCGCAATAAAACTGTTTTGTCCAATTTCGGAGTAGATGGAGACCGGTAATTTGAGGTCTAATTTCTTAGCATACGCTTTGCAGACCTTGCTTTCGAATCCCGTGATGACGGTGAATTTGTGTGATTGTAACTCGAAGGCCTCAAATTCCGAATCAATGAACCCATGGCAATCCGCAACGACTATGCATTTATCCATCATCTCGGTAATGGGGATTATGAACCACTAGGTAAGCAGACAGATAAAATTCAATTACATCCAGATGCTTAACCGCTGTTCCCGAAGGTTAATTGCTTGCCCATTTTCCGTTGCAGAATCCTTGTCCCGTGAAGTGGAACTTAAGAAAATGAAAAATGGAGCGACTACCAGTATCAGTGATGCCAATGAATAAAACGCAATTCGCCAATGGTGCTTTCGTAAATTCATGGAGGGCGCATTATCAACGCGTGGAGTTATGAGTGTGAAGCGCCGTCGTTGGCCATTGTATTACGTTGCCGTGCATAGGTGAGGCCTCATAGTCTGTGTCGCGAATTGCAGCCACGCTAAGTGGTCGAGGAGAGCGATAGCTCATTGCTTCGGGTAATAGAGGGAGTGGTCAAGAGGGGACAATGAAGGGTAGGAGTTGGGATTGCGCTATCAAATTGGGTGGTGATTACAGTTCGACAGGTGATGACCACCGTTGACCGTTGGGTTAGTCTATTATGTGTTGCCGAGGCATTATGGTTAGCTACGAGCATGCGTACGGGCCTGGCAGTTACTATAGGTAGCCACCGTAGGTTAAGTCGACTACAGTTGTGATGTTTACTAAACGCCATCGAGTAAGTATGAGTATGACGATTAATAGCCAAGTTAGGTGACTTCGAGTACAGTTGTGAGTATAACAGGCTGTCAGATTAGGCCATCACCCGTAGCTGAGTCCTTGTCTTTACCGGTCGCCATAAATATTGGTCGTTAAGATGTCACGCATAGTGGGAACCTGGTTTCTATCGGCCCGCGCAGATACTGGCTTGGTGTTTTCTGTAGGTAGCAGGTAGGTACGGCAGTGAAGATCAGTGTTCAACACTGTTTTAATGCTCCCCATGATGATATAAGTAGCAGACATAAGTGAGAGCGCGCGCATTTATGGGTATGACGGGCCATCGTTGGCAGTTAAATAAGGACACTTCGCATAGCTGAGGCCTACCAAACAGCGTCGCATATAGGCACTGGCCTAGCAGTTTCAGTAAGTAGTCAGGGAAGGCGATATCACGTACAGTCTTGAGTATTAAGTCCGTCGTTCGCCATTAGGACACTGCACAAGGACACTGACTCAACAGGTACGATCAATAGCCAAGTTAGATGACTTTGAGTACAGTTGTGAGTATAACAGGCTGTCAGATGTGGCTGTTACGCATAGCTGGGGCCTTGTTTTTGCCGGTCGGCATATATATTGCAGTGATGCTTGCTCTAGCTAGCGAAGACAAGCGGCATCGCGTATAGCTAAGGGTATAAAAGACCGTCAATGACCATCGGATTATGTTACTGTGCATAGGTGCAGTCTCATTATCAACGTCGCACATAAACACAGGCCTAGCAGTTACAACAGGTATTCGAGATGAGTGAAAACTAGTAGAGATACGAGTACAAGGGGCCGCCGTTGCTCATTGGATTGGGTTGCCGCGCATATGTGGGGAACCGTAATTGGCGTCGCACATAGACACGGATCCAGCAGCTACAATAGGTAGTCGAGGTGAGTGACAACGACTACCGTCATCGTGGTGACCGCTTTATGATGGTCACCACCTGTAGAACGTCATAGTTATAAAAGGAAAGACGCCCACAGCTATCTCGTAACACGGTATTATCTACAAGCTAGTTTTGCATATCTGGGAAAGGGGATCAATACAAGAATGCCCTTGCACTGCCACTGCCACTGCAAGTTTGTGCTGTTATCTAACTTTATTGCACTATTTGGTATATCAGATCCACGAGGAAAATGTGTTGTGAGCAGGTTCGTCGAACAAAAATATCCCATTTGTTAAATCTAAGGTTCTAAAGCAACGGAACGTTCTGTCCGCCTATAACATCATAATTCAGCGCAGAATTTCCCCTCGAATCCCGTAAGATTCGAATTTATTGGTCAGCTGGACGTGTTGAACTTGATAGAATGCTTTTGTGGACTCAAAAAATGCTGCTTCCCATATTAATCCATCGTCTTTAGCTCGCTTTAAGCTGTTCAAACATGCGGTCATGTTCGCCATTCGAGAAAGGTTCGCGAAGAAGCTGTGTTGAACTGCGGATAACAAGTTGTTGGTTGCAAGATGGCCTGGGATGACCCGCTTCAGAATACTTTCCATCGCCTTGGACGGCACGCTAGTGATTCTTATAGGCCTGTAGCTACCGAGTGGCAGTCAGCCACCAGTTTTCTACATTTGCCTGATAATCGCTTTCTTTAAACCAAGTAAAGCTGACCTTCGTGAGCGACTGAGTAAACACCAGGTAGAAATAATAACAATAATATTTATTCCCAAATAGTGGGTGGCATACCGTCAGGCATGATCACAGCATTCCAGTCAGCATAAGAGCACGACTGATGGGGATTGTGATTAATGAGAAGTTCCTGGAAAAAAGCCGGTGACGTAAGCAGCGGGCAGTACCGAAGTAGACTTCATCACACAAATGGGTAGAGATCCAAAATCACAAGGGCTCATTATCTCCTGAGAAGAACATATCAAATGACACAAGATCTGATCGTTAGGATTTAAAAAAGGCGGAAAAAATGCGATTGAGGTCATAACAAATAGATTTTCCTGCCTGGAATGAGGATTTCCGCAGGATCCTTGGATGGATTTCCTCCGGTCCGAGCGTCCGCAAAAGGTTTTTTATGCAAAAATTGACGAATTTCTCCCTACGTTGTGGGCAGGTTGGTTAGAGGACGCTATTAGTTGCGCCTGGAAAAGATTAGGACACGTTGTTTGGGGCAGAACACAGGCCTGCATAATGTTCTTTGCAAACTTCATATATCATTCTTGGGTTACTCGCGGGTTTTCAGTCCCTACCCCTTAAGGTGATCGCCGCTGGCTTAGCTCCGCAGCTATGGCAGAAATTTCGGACCCACTTTTGAAGTTCAGGATTTCTAACCAAATAGCAGATGAATTCAACTGTCAGCACGCAACGTTCACTATGCTCCAGTAGAGCGTAATTGCCACCTGATCAACGAAGTGCCTATCGTCGGCGATGACGAAATACAGGGAGCGATGGTTACCCTGGGAGATATCTGGTTGGTGTGATGCCGTGTTGAGCCCTAGCGCCCTGTTGAGCGACTTCGTCCAGTGCCGCTGACAAACTTCTGCTTGGCCCGAAGCTTTGGAGCTCCACCCAGGAGTCCTTGGGAGTAACAAATATCTACCAACAGGCGATGTGCGAAGAAGTGCTAGACGGGGAGAGTCACTGTAGTTTGTGTGAGCAATCAGTCATGTTCCGGAGGATTCAAGGCACAACAGCAAATAATTTTTCCATGTGCTCATCGCCTTATTTTTGTGCCCAACGTGGTGCTCCGGGAATTCTCTGGCGT